GCTGCCGGAGCTGCCGGAACAGTCACCGGAGCTGCCGCCCGCTGCCGGAGCTGCGGGAGCCGGGCCCGCCGCCCATCTGTCAGGACCGCCGACGGCAGCACGCCCGTCTGTCAGGGTCTGTCAGTGCCGGCAGTGGACGCGCGCGGGTGCGGGCCGGGTACGGACGCGCGCGGGTGCGCGCCAGGTACGGGTGCGCGCCGGCTATGGACGCGCGCGGGTGCGCGCCGGCTATGGACGCGCGCGCGCTTGCGTGCCGACGATGGGCGCGCGCGCGCGCTTGCGTGCCGACGATGGGCGCGCGCGCGCGCTTGCGTACCGACGATGGGCGCGCGCGTGTATGCCGACCATGGCTGCCGCCCGCTGCCGGAGCTGCGGGAGCCGGGCCCGCCGCCCATCTGTCAGGACCGCCGACGGCAGCACGCCCGTCGGTCAGGGTCTGTCAGTGCCGGCTGTGGACGCGCGCGGGTGCGCGCCGGGTACGGACGCGGCGTTCTCGCCGGGTAAGGACGCGGCGCGCGCGCCGGCTATGGACGCGCGCGCGCTTGCGTGCCGACGATGGGCGCGCGCGCGTGCATGCCGGCCATGGCCGCGCGCGTGCGCCCCAGCCATGGACGCGCGCTAATGCGCGCCGGCGATGGGCACGCACGTGCCTGCTCGGCAATGGATGAGCGACGAGCGTGCCTTCTCGGAAATGAGTATACATGCAGACATCTTCATGGATGGACGCTTTCAATATGTTCAATGTGTTGAGACGGATCTGAGTAAATTGGAGAGAAACTAGGATAGTTTTAGTCCTGCTCAACTGGTTCTGCCAATAAGTACAAACACCACCTTGCTGCCAACTGCTTACCAAATACCGCATCTGTTGTACGTACCCTTGCATGATGCATATGTACATAGGTACAGAAACAATTACAGTCTGTTGAAATTTGAAAACATGCACTGCTGAGCACTGTGGATGAATCTGTATGAACCGTGTGGCCCAGCGAAACCTTCTGGACCAGGTCATAATTGACAGTGAATTAGTAATCAATCCTTGCGAAGAGAAAATAGATGATTGTGCCTTAGATGAGCATAATGAAGAAGCGTTCCTGAAGTTGAGTTAGTGGCTTTCCATCATCCATGCCAGATGGCCAAAACACATCATTTCAATACTGTCCCAAAAATATATTTCAAAACACTTATTGCATGGCTATACACACCAGCTTACTCAGTCACCACACTCAAACCAAGGCCATATAAGGGTAGTAGTATAGCTCAAACACAGTCTACTGATACAAACGTCACTGGTCTCAAGTCTGTGCTCAATGCACCAGCTGTACACTACTCACAATACGTAAGGACTCAACGTCAGCCACCAATTTTCTACATCAAATTCACATCAGGTTTTCAATGTAACAATGTATGTGCCACTTCTGTACTTTGTGCTACAAACACAGAATAAATGATATCAGTCAGCAATGCATTGCTCATTGTCAGCCAGTCTGCAAAGTCAGTCCGCAGGCTTTGCAAGTAAGTGCAAAGTCTGCGGAGATCGGTTGCTTTACACACCACCAATATCATGCTGCAATGTGCTCAAAATATGCCCATACACCAACAACAAAGCACAACCATGAAGCACCACTGATAACACCTAACCTCAAAGCACACAACATGATAATTTATTTATTTTGAGTACCTACAGAAACAGAATGTCTCAAGGCCACTCGTGCTCACTCCGAAATCTGCCAGTCGCTCAGCCTTGAACATTGACATTATTTCATCTGAAATCTATTTTCTTCACTTGATCAAAGTTGATCTGCGTCATACATCTTACAACGGATGTCTCGAATTATTGGTAACGTTCAGCACTTAGCATTAACATTACAAATGATAGGTAACTTTGGTTCAACGTTCCATCCAAGCTTCTTCATTGCTGGAGCTATATCACTTTCAAGTTTTATTGCTTGAACTAAGACATTCTTGAATTACACTCGGGATGAGCTTAGTTTGAAAGCACACAGCATAATTTTTTAATTATTTTGATTTTTGATAACCCACAGGATATCTAGAAGCTACACGCACTGGCTACAAAGCCCACAAGTCTTGAACATTCGAATATGAATAGGAACAGCTTTGTTTCGCACAGATTTCGCACATGGCGGGATGGCGCCATTCCGTCCAACTCATACAGCCTCAGAAATTACAACAACACACTCAACTTACGGAATATCCGTCAAACAAATCTTATTTACGACGACACGAGCCAATGCTAACAACGCTTGCCAGTTGCGCTAGAGATATTGGAGTGGAGACGTCAGAGAAAAAAGTCTTTAGATTTCTCCCATTTCCCCACGTAACGTTGAACGGCCGTTGCGGCCTTATCTGGTATGCGACGGCCTTATCTGGCATAAAAAAATATCTCTAGAAGTCTCTAGCTAGTGTTAAGCCTATGGACTTATAGGGAAATGTATCCGAGTACTTGGTACTGCCTCCTCCAGGTACTGGCTGGCAGACGGATCAACTTTGGAGGCCCACCATTTGGAAATTAGGCAATTTTGAGACGAATGACTTCGGATTGGGGCCTCAGCCACCTTCTTCTACACGTTTCACTGAGTATCTCCGAAATTTCGGAAAAAACCCTGATAATACCTTTAATTAATGGGCTCTCGCATGAGATTTTCTGGCTGTAGAAAGAGTGTGTCTCAGCCTTTAGACTTGGGTGAAGGACAGGTTGTTCAACAGCTCTAAGCTAGCCCCCACCCCCATAAACTGCTTACCATCTTCGCCTGGAAGTCGCTCTTCGGTTGCTCATGCGAGCAATTACGCATTAACTCCACGCCGGGTTCATACTGCTGTTGTGGGTTCTGCCAAGTCCCGTCGGAAACCTTCCGGTCGTAACCGGCAGACGTCCCTCTAGAACAGAAGCAGATGAAGGATTAGGCTGATGACATTATATTGTCCGGGCAATTTAAGGATAATCTCAGACGGAGGTTGATGACCTTAGTCATTTTTACGTCATATTCTGCATATCCTAGACAGTTATCAAGATATTGTGTGTATCGAAAGCTTTGTCTTTTACAATAAACTTGATTTAGTATCGTCATTTTATATCTGTCATGGATTCGTTACAATTAAGTGCTTTAGTTCCTTACCAACACAGCATAGCTTCCTCGTCGAGCTGCGTCCTCCGTTGTTGCCGAGTCCAGCTTCTCACGCACTGACCCCAGCGGCCAGCGGTAGATCACGACTTTGAGCACAGGTCAGTCAAGCGGTCACCACATCTCGCCGTTCACCGTCTTCGTTCACAGCTCTGTAGTGTCGCCGCACTCTTCAGTGCCAACCATGGTCTGACCTGGAGCGGTACCTAGCCCACGGCTTGCTCACACAACCGCGCGGCGCAGTGACTCTGGACCGACTTCCCCCGCTCGTCCCGTCTGACACGTCGGCACGGCCCCATTCACGATGACAGATGGCGACAGGAGACGCCCCTCAACCAGATGTGCGGACGGAACCGACGGCGGCCGGTCGTTGCTACCCCTCCCTCCCCTCCCCTCGCTGCGTTGAGGCGACACATGTATGTCGTAGGCAGTGTGTTGTTGAAATTTTGATGCTTTTGTAATTTCAATGCGATGAGTGATGACAGAAGAAAGAAAACGTAATGTTTATGCCACAGCAGTGCGAGAAGAAACAAAGATCCTGAAAGTTGTCAAAGTTGTTTTTACCTCATGAAATAAGGGCACCAACGTTCGTTCAAAATAATGACGTGTGCGTGTCCTCATCCTCACGGCTTAGCAGGCCCCGTAAACCAAGACGGCTTTACCTCTCTTTTAGGTCGAAAATTACATACATCAAATGCCTCAATCAAATGTCTGCGAATAACCGTTTTCATGATAGGTAACTGGTACACAATTGGTAGGCATTTGGTCCAGATGCGGTGCCGATTTGATCAATTATATCAGACATTATTTTCGATTAAAACACTGAAATAAATAGGTATATGATATAAAGATATGAAAAAGAAATTTGGTGCAAATTTGGTCAGGTTTGATGCATTCGCCAGATCACCTGTCATGAAAACGATTATAAAAAAATTATATCGTTATAGGTATCGTTTTATCGTTATATCGTTATAAAATCGTTATATCGCTAATTTTTTTATTAATCTCCCTTCAATCGATGCATGAACCTATAGCTCTAGAACTGCTCCTAAGACTGCTTTTAGCATTCCCAAGATGCATTTTTCTTTATTGAATACTTGTGGAATTACATGCTGGAAGTCGATCTCAAAACGTCCTACTGGCGGTTGGGATTCGTCTGGGGATTAAGTGTAAAATCCCGAGCGGGGAATTTCAACAGTTCCCCTACTTTTCCCCAATCAAACTGTTCTTGAAAATGGGTCGGGGATAACGCACCCTTCCCCGTTCGGGGAATCTGATCTTTTACCCGACCGAACCCCAACAGTGGGGTTTGATTGGGGAATGCTGCTCTTTCCCCGTACGGGGATCGGTGTAATTTCCCCATGTCTTTTGAACATATTACCAATACAGTCGGGGAAGGGATGGGGAACACGGACCGTTCCCCGATCCGATAGGGGAATTGTACGTTCTCCCCAAGCTTTCCCCAACACTGTCCCCGCACTTTCCCCAACCGAATTGCTGGCTGGGGATCTGCATTGCAACTTGTGTATGTAGTTGGGAGCCGGTGGCTGGTGTGCGCGCTCGGGCCCCGCCGCTCGCCGCTGTCCTCACAACCGTTCAACACGCCCACTGGCAACACGCTTCTTTCGACCTCCAAATGTCTACGACACTTGAGTCATCATTCAAACTCATGTTTTGTGGACTTGCCGCTAGTGTGATGTTATTTTTTGTGTTTTCTTAACTGAATTCGGCCTTTCTGCCGTCCGTGTGCCCCTGGTATGGCTTGCTTTGCTGTGTGTACCTGGCTGCCACGTGCTGGCAGTGTTCCGACCCGTTGTGGGCCGCGGCCGGCCCGCTGACCGCTCCCCGGCACCTCGGCAGATGACAAGGCGCGGCCCTGCAAAGAACTGCTCGAGTTCCCCCCTGAGGAAGTGTACGAGCCGCACTACTTGTACAGAAACCTCTTGTTCGTCTCGCCCAAGACGGTCAACTTTGTCAACTATCCCAACAAGCCTGGTAAGCGCAGCGCATCCCGGTCGTAATTCGGCGGCTCATTGCAGTCGCACTATTGGCTTTTGTTTTGTTTTGTTTGCGCGGAGGTGTGGCTGGCCAGACATACTCGTGTGGCTGTGGCGTGGCTTCTTTTGCACGTCTCAATGCCCCACATTTGTAATGTTTTTAGTGTCGATTTGAACTTGTTGCTTGCTCTAAGGTGTGAACATGGATGAAGTATTCCTGGATAGGACACTCCCTATTCCCCAACGCTAGCGCCGGCGACCAAGCGGCCGCCCTGGTGGCGGAGCGCCGAAACATCGGCGCGAAGTGCACCTGCGGCCGCCGCGTCCGTGCCGAAAACGCGGTAATGGAGAGCGAAATTAGTGAGCTTTAGCTCGTAAGACACGATTTCAAACCATGTAATCATATTTTTATCCCTTTCTAATAATTTTTATGGCTTTATTTAATCACTATCACATACGGAACCATTAGACACGATCCGCCCATAGCACACAATGCTAAATGGCGCCTACGCCCTCGCCGTCGTGCGTGGTCGGAAAATCGGCGGAGTGTCCCATCCAGGAATACCTAATCCATGGTGTGACAGTATCACAGGCGCCTATTGCGCCCGGCGGCGCTGGCTGGCCGCCGAGCCGACTGACCGGGGTGCCGCCTTGTTGGTTCGACAGGCATTTCGGCCCGCAACATCACTGTGCGCGTCCAGTTTCTGAACGGCGAGGGCAAGGAGTCGGCGCTGCCGGTCATCTTTGGCCGCTCCTCGATGCCGGAGCTCGTCAGTGAGGCCTACACCGCCATCAGCTACCACTCAAAGTCAGTGAGGTCTACACCGCCATCAGCTACCACTCAGTCAGTGAGGCCTACACCGCCATCAGCTACCACTCAAAGTCAGTCAGCGAAGCCTACACTCCCATCAACTACCACTCAAAGCGTATGACATGGAGACATTGAGACAAATGTATATTTTTAGCAGTGGCGCAGCCAGAACTCTGGCGACGGGGGTGAGAGATGTTCGCGATGGGCCCCCAGTAGAGTTCTGCACGGCTGCAATTTTCCACAGCCTAGCCGCCCCACAGCCGCAGCCGCCCACAACCGTGGCAAACTGTGGGCAGCCAGCCCTCAGCCGGCCGTGGATACTTTAAATGAAATGCAACCAAATTGTATATAATAAGTTATTTTTAGTTAAAACATATAGCCAAAAGCACATTGCAATGGGCTATAGATTCTCAAGCTCATGAAGCATGCCCACACAAGTCCTTGCAAGGGGTTAAGAAAGATGGGTAGGTACTAGGTACCTACATGAACAGAAAACATAAACAACGAACCAGAATAGAAGCAGTGTAGACATCTAATGCCAAATCCTGAAGCATGGTTGTGGGACAGATCACAGAACAACAGACCCAGATACTTATCATTATCAATGTTATGGAAAATGAAACTGAAGTTGATGAACTGTCAAACAGTGATTGTCCTGATAGTCAAAACTCTTGCTTCTTTCTTACCTTGCATATTTTCTGGGGTGTGATATGCCAGGCTTGAAGCAGCCTTTTCAGCATGTCTCAAACTAATTTGATATGCAAGGCATCAAAACACTAGTGAGCATCCAAGAAAGAAAAACATTTATCTATTTTAATTTTTCCAATTTGACCCCGCGTTCGATGTCTCTCGGACGACGAAGTTTCTACGTCGTCCGAGTCATCGAACACGGGGTGATTTTCATTTTCCTTCAATCTGTGCTGAAATCACCAAGGATGTGCGAGCCACAATTGCCTCTTTCAATCTAAAATTTTATTTGAGTTTTTAATGACGTCAGTATCAAAGAAGTGTCAATTATTTTTGTGTTTCTACAAATAGCGCCATTAAAAATTAAAAATGTTTTATAATAAGATTATACAGTTGAAAATTTGCTGTCAAAGATTCAGTATCAAATTTTGACATTTTTAGAAAAAGACGTCATTTTATTAGTAAAGTCAACGGCTCGCGTAAGAAATATCGTGTTCAAGGGTTTCAACGTCATGTGAAGTAACCGTACGTAAGGTTTATGCTCCCTTATATTCTAATTCCATTGGCTTTGTTGATCAGCATTTTCTGTTAGCGTTCACTCACAACCAGTTAGAACATAAAAGCGCCAGTTTTATATTATGTAATTGGACTTGCCGAAAATCCAGAAATACATCTAATAGTTATTTTAGATTTTTATGAAGCTTTTACCTGCCTTTACTTAGGCGTTATTTCTTTTTTATTACCTGAAAGAATTATTGAACGTTTGTCTTCAATAGCTGTAAGGTGCTCTCCTAATGACCAGGTGAGATTGATTTGAAAGGGATGTGACAAATGCACATGGTGTATTTTCTGAAGCT